CACACACACACACACACACACACACACACACACACACACACACACACTGGTTGGCTTTCCCCCAGGACGGCAGGACTGTGATCTGGACCTTAGTGACTTTGAGTGTAGTAATCCCAGCCAGATCCCCTGGGGGAAAATCTCCATGTTCCATCCAGTGCCATGGAAATCCACAGGCATGGGGACCTCAGCTCTGCTTCCCTGTGCTTAAACCTGTCTATGTAGAGTAGATTTTTTTTTTTTTTAAGAATCATTAATGAGAAAAATTTCTCATTTGGGGATTCTCCATAGCCTGCTCGATAAATGCCCATTGAAGGCATTGCCCTCTGATAAACAAAATGCCACTGGCCAAGAAGCTAGCATGTTTCAGGCTCCACGCTCAAGCGAATCCCTTTGCCCTGTGCCTTTCCTGCATTCCTTATGCAGACAAAACTGCCCTAGAAGTCACGAAGGATTGTGATTGCATAAGGACTTCCAATTCAGGCTCCTGGAATGTCACTAACCTGAGCCTGGCCCACTTCCCGGAGCGGCCATAGACAAACTTGGTATTAACAGCTCTCCCAACCCTGCTAAGTGTTCAGAGCATTGGCCTTGCCTTCATAACTCTTCTCCTAAAGGATATTAAAATGAAATGGGCGGAAGCCAAGTACATTTCAGTGTAAACCTTTGAGAGGCAGAGGCTGCCGAGCACAGGCGGCCTTGTTTGGAAGTGGCTCCATCTACAGCCTGGGCTCTGTAGGGTCCGGACCCAGCAGGATGGAAGGGGCCCTGTCAGAGCCTTGGGGGCTGGCGGTGGGATCCCTGGCTATAGGAACCAGACTCATGAGTGTAGGTGCATTCCCAAGCTGTAATTCCCCATGCACAAAGATATATATTTCCTTGGCCCCCACTTATCCTAGGCTCTCCCCCACATTTTGCACAGTAGACATAAAATATGTAAGCACCTGAAGCTAGGCATTGCCTCTTGAGGAAGTCTCATGTTTTATATACATCCATGATCCTCCCTTTTCTCAACTCTTCCTCCTGTGGACTGCCTTCTCAGCCTGCCCCTCTGCTGGGTCCTGTCCCACCCCCAGCCCACTCCCTGCCCACTGAGTTATCGATGCTCCTTGGGCCCTGTGTGTCCGACAGAGACAGGAAGTCAGACAGGCTCTGGAACACGCACACGCCCAGCTCCAGTGGACTCCTGACAGTGGTAACCTGGCCACCCAGGAGCAGCCACAGTCAGATGGCCTTCACCTGCCTGTGGCCC